CCAAATAACATAAAGTCTTTACAAACAGAACATGATATTACAGTAAAGTGTTCTTTTTTCTAGTTACTCGGGTGATTTTTTTTTTTTTTTTTTAAATGTACATACATTAAAGAACATATAGTTCAAACTCAAAGAACATATTAATCAAATTTAAAGAACAAATTATGCTCACGTTCTTTATAAATATCTATAATGTTCTTTTTTTCGCCCATGTTCTTTTAAATATACCTAATGTTCTTTCCGGGTGCACCATGCGCATGGTGCACCCGGGTGTTCCAACCATACATTATGTTTGTCATGGACACATGCATCCTTTCATTGTAAACAAATGAAATTCATACTATCAAATAGAATGAAAATATATGTTGCGAAAAATTTAGCAAATATCTATCCAAGTTGGTGACTATGGACTCTAAAATTTTTTAATAGTACTAAAAAATAGATGGAGTATTAGGGTTCCATTTATTTTAGTTTTTTTAAAGGACTCTAACTAGAACTCAACCGTTGATGTTATGTTTATCCAGTATTTGGGAGTAGAGGGTCGGGGAGGGTAAAGGAATTCTTATGACCATATCTTTAAGAATTCTCACCTGGTATGATTTGAACCTCATACCTCTAGGATATGAATTTGAGATAAGAGTCTTACCAAATGAGCCAACATTCAGTCGGTACATAGGTAGGGAGTACCTCTAAGGCTCCAGTTGCGAAAAATGCTTATGATGCATTGATGATTTGATGCTACAAGTTATGCCCATGCCACATTTTGCCAATAAAAATCATCTAAACAATACAAATTTGCATTTGGAGCAAAAACTTATTGTTGATGTTCGGTGGATAGAGTAGTAATTTGAGATATTGAATTATGACTCAAACAAGCATGAAAGACGTGTTGGGCTGTGCCCAACTCTACATATTCAAGCCCAACTAAACTAGACGGCTGATCCAATAATTTGGAAGCTGATTATAATTGTACTGGCCTCATTTATGTCATACACCAATATGTTTTAATAATTGATTCGTGTGTTTGTAGACCACAACTTGTGCTTATTTGCCTCAAGCTCTACCGATTTCTGTCGGTTAGTCTTGGCTTAGCCAATAAGGCGAGATTAATCACCCTTTAAGGCCATTTAGAAACTGGTAATTTATGATTTACTGAGGAAATAAGAATGAATTTGTAAGAATAAAACAATTTTAACTTGGAGGGTAGTAATGGATGTTAGTAGACATTTATGAAGAAAAACATCTAGTAATAAGTTTGAAGATGAATATTGCATGTATACAAATGGACATTTGCATATTACTTTGTTAAATTATGCTTTAATATATCTTAGTTCTACTATTGATCTTGGCTATATGTCTATATCGCGATAGAATCATTAATTACTTCCACGTACTCTATAAGAACAATTTTAGTAGTTGATCGTTATGGTTACGAGATAGTTATAGATCATTCTTGACTATGGTCTGCTACTCTGCTGAATAGAACTAATGCAACTATAATGAGGAACAACTAAAGGGCTCAATCATATGTTAAGAAGAAGCAAATAATTCAAAGATAGTACTGCTAAATTGTTAACTAATTGTTTTATTAACAGCTAAATTACTGATTAAACAAATTTAATGCATCTTTCTTGCTCAGATTCGGCAAAAATATTGCATTCAGCAGATGATACTAGGGCATTGTGCACAAGAATTGCAAATTTAAGCCTTAAATTTAAATTTACTATAACAATTATGCATAATTTGAATCTGAAAGTTCACACAGACATAAACTAGGCAACAGAAAATTTGTTTATTACTACTATACTAAGCATCAAGCTCCTCATTTCATACATTTGACGATTAAGTATAGTTTTCATCAAAAGGGTTGTCTGTTACACCCCTTATTTCACATTATCACATATGCCTACTATGATGATTAGCATACGAAAATAACTAGCATAACGATCAAGATAAACAATACGGAGTAGTTAATCACTGAGATATGTGAATAATGCAAACGCGCACCCCAAATATCCCCCATATTTCATTCTGATCCAATAGAAATTGCACAATGTAACACTAACACACAACATTATTCACAAATCTCAGTGATTAACTTATCATCCCTCGTATTAGAACATTTGTTCGATTTTTACTAGTACTAACCGTAATAATACCTTGAATTATGCACTCAAGAAGAATTTCCTCCATGATATTGAACTTGTTCAGTAAGAGGTTGCTGAGGGAAATGCCTGTGATAGCTATAGACAGGATCACCATAACTTCCTTTCTCCGGCATGGTTCCGCCGTAAGGATTCGGATTCCCAAACAGATACTCAGCAGTTTCTTTCCAACAATAATCATAATCATTCATATTATCATTACCATCTCTTTGATGATTATAAATCCTCTGATTTCTCTTCCACAAACAGGGGAAATAACCACCAAATACTCCTTCACATAGGTCTATTGCTTCCATACCATAACCCGGTGGAATCTGACGCCTTATTTGATCACCATACTCCTCTTTACTTCCCTCATCACCTACAACACCGCCCTCGATTTCTTCTTCTACCTCCTCCTCGAAACCCTCCTCGAAATCTAAGGCCTTTTCTTCTTGGATTGCCTCACTAACAATGCTTCCATCTTTTGGCTTTGCATCACTTTCAACATCTTGAGCTTCTTTTGCATGACTTGCATCAATTAAAGGTACAATTGGACCAATTTCAGATGGTTCTTTACTCACTTCATCTTTCTTTTCTCCTCCTTTTCCTTTCTCTTCTTCGAAAACCGGGGTTTTTTCTTCTTGGATCACCTTGCTAGGAATGATCACATCACTCTGTTTTGGCTCTGCTTCATTGACACCTTCCTTAGCAACCAAACCATCTTGCTTTTCTCCTAATCCTTCTTCCTCCTCCTCCTCATCTTCTTCATCAAATTCATCTTCATCTTCATCGTCGAATTCTTCATCTTCATCCTCAAAATCCGAGGGATTTTCCTCTTGGATCACCTTATTATCAACAACCCCATTACTTTTCTTTGCCTCACCTTCACCCCCAACATCATTTTTAACCCCATTAACATAAGGAGAAGGAACGGCCCCATAAGAAAAATCACCCAAAGTTTGAGCATTATTTGAATCCGGTTTACTAGATGGATAACAAATTTCTTCTGAAGGAGGTAAAGGCTTCCCATACTTCTCATTAATATCATAACCTCCATGAAATGGTTTCGGGTTCCAATCTTTTTCGTCGAAACTTACAGCATCAGTACCTTCTTCAGCTTCAGCAGCAGTGTTATTATTATTATAGAAAACAGCATAATGAGTTGTAACATGATCATAATATTCACCACTTTCACTCAAACTTGCATCTTTAGTTAAAACAGATTCAGGCTGATTGTAATTAGAGTAATAATAACCTACTAAAGATGGAGTTAAAGCTTGCTGATATGCATTTCCATAATATTCAGAATCAGAATATTGATGATGAACATACTTTGCTCTTGATTTTGTAATCAAGATTGTAATTATTGTAGTAATATGATAATTACAAATTATAGGTAATTTGAAGTAGTTGAAGTATGCATCGATAGTTTAGATGAATCTTAGTGTTTAGATAAAACTCTAGAAAAGAAGTTTTTTCACCAACTTAGACATTATGTTTTTAGTAGTGTTTCACTAAGTTACATTAATTCTTATTACTTGTTTTTATACTATAAGTATTTTTGCATTTTTTTGAAGTAGAGATTTTTTTACTTTAGATTGAATTTGAGAAACTCGAATTTTTACACTATTGTAAAATTTACATCTCACAACCATAAAAACTCAAAAATTCACCGATTAGTCCTTGAGATCCTTGAATCTAGCCCCATAAAGTTTCGAAGAGTTTCAAGAATATCCTTATTATTTATGATATTATAATTGTAATTATTATAAAAAGCCCCCCTTTTCAATTAGCTTCTAGTTTATAAATAATAAAAGTGGAATCATTTGATAGGAATTAAAGGATTTTTCTGATAAAGTTTATTATTTTATACTTGTATTAATTTTGGCATCATTTATTAGGGAAAGCAAATTTTATGGGCATTGAAAAAGATAATGTAATGCATCTATAATGATCATGGTTGAGAAGTCAATATCAATATAATGAGCTTTGGTCCTACACTCCTTGCAAAGAATATGGGGTGTTTTGGTTTCTTTTGCTTTTATATCACAAATTATGGTTTGCAATTCATTCTAGAATCATCCGGACCTCATCTTTACTTTTTTTTTTTTCGTCCTTAAATAAAAGTCTAATTTCACTTCCTTAGAGCTCTAATTTCTAAATAAAAATCTCATTTTTTTTCCATGTACTTATTTATTCACTTGTAATCAATTAAACCCCATTATTATTCACTATTAACCAATCAAAACCCATTATTTAATTTTGATTTTCCCTTGCAATCAACCAAACTCCACAATCTTTTTATAATTCGCCTTCTTATAAAATCTCATGCAAAAGACAAATGATATTTTTATTTGAAATCAAGTAGTTTAAATTGTGATAATTCAAGTTATTCCTTTATTGTTAAGGTGTACTAATTTGATTTGTTATCAGTGTAAACTCACAATTTTCATTAGACCAAAAACAAGTTTTCAAATATTTTCTCCACCTTTTATTTATTTTATTAGACAAAACATGTTTTTCACACTTCTCAATCCATAATTATTGAGGTTTGTGCAGTATAAGTATTTTGAAAATTGAAAAAAAAAAACTTGATTTTTTATAGTCAAATCTAAAAATGGCTTAATGTGTAGCTAATATTTTGAGTATGGGCTATAATTTAGCCCAACCCAATACTACCAAAGGTGGAATGAATTTTTACCCAGCCCAGTCTATGATCAGCTATACTACCTGCCTAGCATGAGACTAAAACAACAAGATCAGAGCTAAGTATACAGAGCGAGGACAGATATTGCATACATCCTCCCTCGTGTTTGTCAAAGGCTCAATGCCATAAGACTGCGTGGGAGACGGTAACTAAAGTGGTCATATGCCTGATGTACAACCACAAATGACTAATGATGAAAACATGCTTTAGTCTATAACAAAATGTACAGTCTATTTGACAGCAAACAAGTGCAAAGAGCTATCACAAAATTCTTGTAGCACCGTCAAAGAGACTCCTACATGTCATACTCTTACATCAATGGCTCTGATTCTATAAATGGACTACTTTGCAAGCTTTATGGCCTTACAATAAAAGGCTGTTCATGTTGCAATACACCCTCACCATATAAGCAGTGTAAAGCTATACTTGACCATGCACGCATGACTGCTCATCGACATTCAGCAAGATGCAACCAATCTCTCCATAAGCTATGTCATTTCACATTATAGCCAACCTAGATCAAAGATTATATTTGAATCATTAAACAACAGTTGTCAATCATACTAGAAGTAGTTCATAAACAGGAGGTAGGATTAAGACTATAATTGTCAATCAAACACATATTCAAGTGATTCTTTTCCACATGCATAAAAACTTCTTCAAAATTCAGACAGATAGGATCATAGACAATTCCACTTCCTAACCTTATCAGGAGGCTGATTCAGAGGGTGCACTTTCTTGTTTTGATTTTCTAGGAGCAGTTCCAGGGGGACCATCTCGCCGTCTCTCATACCTTCTACTCTCATATTTAGAAGTATTGCGTTGCTTAGGTTGATATGTGGGATACTTGCAAGGAATAATCTCACCATTGATATACTTGTCCCCTGAGACAAACATTTCAAGGAAGTGAGAAAACTTGTCACTGTATAGGCACAAACAAAAAATTCCTCATAAATCAGAATAGGGTGTGTACCTCCATAATCCTTGTTTTTAACATCTATGTAAGAATCAGGCAACACCCACAGAACTCCTGGCAATCCTGCAGATCATGAAGGGTTGAATACTTAGCTAATTAAAAACAGCTTCAAAGTTTCTCATGCACTACAAGGGAACATAAAATTTCAATATTGCACCATTTACCCTTGAATTTTTCAGATGTTTCTTCATCTACTGTACATTGGAAACCAGTGTAGGTTGTGGTACTAAAAGCATACATGTTCTTCTTTGCCTCTTCCATGCTGGAACGTCATAGAGGAAACAGTCAATCAACAGTCTTATCAGACTAGTAAAATCAAATACGTAGTATATATATATAGGTAAAGCAAAAGCTTCAGAAATCGGTTCCCTGAAACACTCAAGCTCATTATTGTCCTTTAAATCTACTAAACAGAGTAATTGAATATTTAAACTGAATATACAATTATACATGCAACATTTGCCTTAGACCAATGTACAGGAACCCATGAATGCGCGTTTAGCACATCCCCCCCCCCCCCCACCCTCCCTCCCTGACTCCCTGACTCCCTCTTTCGCCTTCCCCTCTTTGATTAACTAATTAAGTCAATTAATTCTTGCCATACTCAATTACCCCATCTACTGCATGAACAAATATAAAACCAGGACGAGAATGTACTATAACCAACCACGGTAAACTATCCTTTTACTTAAATTTGTAAATTTTGTTCCATTTGAATCACATCCACAGAAAAAGTTGGCAAACATTCAATTTGAAATGACGCAACACAGCAAGGCCTCTCCTTCTTAATTGTTGCATTTGAAAACCCCACTACCAAATTCGCCATAGGAAGGGGCCTAGTTAGACTTATTCTTGTATTTTGGCTAGTTGTTGCATTTGAAACCCCCCACTAGCATGCCAATCCTTCTTAAATGTATTCAACATTTCGGCTAAAACGGTGCAGGCATTAGTTTCATAATTCTTTTAACAATAAGAAAGCCTTATTCTCACAACATCAATTCACTACAAAGGACATCACCACTTGTCCACAGTTTGGCAACATACAAGGATAACACCCCTCATGCTCTCACATACTTTTTCCATCCACCATTCGAAACAAAGAGAGCAAGCAAACTACATTATACTCACCAGCAGCAACTTCTTCACCAAACTGAATTTAAAAACACTTGATTATTTAACTATCAATTGTCTACTCTACAAAGTCTTTGGTTAGTTAACCAATGATAACCTCCTTCCACTCTTCCATATTACACATCATTCCCCATCACAAGTCTCACAACCATAAAATGGCAACCAATTCATTCTTATAATGCATGATTATTACATACTACTCTTGTCTTATATTATTTGCCTCATTTTCCTTTTTTGGGTGTCCTAATTTACTTGCTTAATTTCATTTATAGGAATTTTCTCCTCAACTTTTTCACTTGCATAAGTAATTTTTTCTCTTTATGAGCAGAAAGCAACTACAATTCAATTGAATTTCACTTAAATTGAACCTGACATCCAAAGGCACATAGTTTCTCCACAAAATAAACATATAGGCCTAAAATGAGCAGAACATTCATGGTCTTGCGACTCCAACTCTATTGAATTCCATAAGCATATCAACCAAATCCGAACTGAAAAAAGGCACATGATTTTTCCAAACAATCAACATAAAGGTCTAATTTCAGCTAAAAGAACAAAGCTTACACAAGATATTTACCATTATATTTTCTCAAAACCATTAGAACAATCATGGTCTAGCAACTCCATATTTATTGAATACCATAAACATTCAATCAAACCTAAAACCCAAAAAGTCACATAATTTCTGCTAATAATCAACATAAATGAGATATTGAACTTATCCCAAACAACAATTATACTGTATTACCCACTACAAATTTCCCCGAACAACAATTAGATTACCAACTAAAATTTCAATTACAACCCAGAAATTCAATCAAATTAAACAATAAATCAAAGAAACAAACCTTCCCAAAACAGTAGCAAGAGTATTGAGATAAGTATCAATCATTTGTTCCCTAGTAGGAGCAGGGTCTTTAGGAAACTCCATAACAATCAACCAATGGTTATAGTCACAGCCAGGTAACATTATCGTTTCCCTCTGCTCGCCATTGTTGCTTTTGCTTCTCTTAGAAGAGTAATCCCCATCAACAGCAGCCCTAATTGCGAAGCTTCTGGAATGTGAGGTGGTTTGATTTGGGCTCCATGATTGTGGGCGAAGAGAGAGGAGAGAGATTGAGGGGTGATAAGGAGAAGTAATAGAGGGTTTAAGGGGTTGTGGTGAAGGGATAATTGGAAGGGTTTTGGGGAGGAGAGAGAATGAGAGTGTTGCCATTGTTGAAGGTTGTAGGAAGTATGAAGTGATAAGGTGAAACTTGCAATGAAACTATCAAAGGGGGTTTTGTGGGATTTTTGTAAGTGTGGGGGTAAAGTTGTCCAAATGGGAAAGTTTTTAACCATAATTTTGTTTTCGGGTCTAAATAAGACATTGGACGGACAAGACCATTACAAATTACAAATGCGGGAAGAAATGATATTACGAAGTATAAGAGTATAAGATTAAGGGCCTATTCATCTTAGCTTAATTTCAATTCAGTTGTTTCTCTCATAAAATATTCATTTTAATTTAGTTCAATTCAGTTCAATTCAGCACGATCAGTAAATTAGAATAAACCCTAAGATCCTATGCTTTGTCTAGAGTTCAAACTCATTACGTTTATGGATTATTGTGTTATTTTTTTCTATGACATAAATTGGTTGTTTTTACTAAATGTTTTTTTTTTATTTTTAAAACTCGAATACAATAATAGTTTATTTGTTGTTTATGGAAGCTCACTTAGGAAAAATAAATGTTACAGAGTACTTAAATTTACATCTAAATAATGTTATATAAAATTATTAAATAACTCACTGTGTATAACCGTAATGAACATTTTGGGCTTGTGTTTGATAAATGGCTTTTCATTGGCTTTTTTATTGGCTTTTGGCTTTTTTATTTGGTCAAACATCTAAAATTTGTGTTTGGTAAATGGCTTTTCCAGGCAGCTGAAAAGTTGACTTTTTAGCCAAAATGAAAAAGCTACTTTGAGTAGCTTTTGGCTTTTGACTTTTGGCTAAGTTACTAATAATATCCTATAGCCAATTTTACCAAACATGTATTTAGACTAATAAAAAGTCAAACTGTCAACAAAAAAACCAATACAAACAGCTAGTCAAACCAACCAATCAAACCAGCCGACAGCCAACCGTCAGCAGCGCCAAACAAGGCCTTTGTCATACACAAATTATTAGATGTGGCTGGCCACATCGCGTGGCCAACAATTATATGGATTACTTCGTTAGTTTATTAGGAGTTACTTAATCAGTTAAAGGAGTTGCTATGTCAATGTTATAGGGTTACTCAATTCGATTTTAGGGTTATTCGATCATTATTGCAAGGATTTTTTTTATCAGTGCTATAAAGTTATTTTGTTCTTTTATAAGTGACTACACGATATGGTCACGGCTGACCCAACAACAACATTACCCGCCCCGTGACCTAAAGTCCCGACTCGTCTGGCTAAACTGGCTGAACCAAATTGCAAAACACTCAGAAATTAATTTTCCAGTTTTCTGGGTCAGAATAACAGTTTCACCCTTCTACACTAGAGAGTAGACTGAAGATACATTACTCGAAAAAGGGTGCTGGGAAAACATCAAATTACTCCTTCATCACCCATAATTATTTTCTACGGTATGTTTCTCTTCTAGTACTACCCAGTAAAATCTGTTATGCTTTAATTAGTTTGATCTTTGATGTGTGTAAAATTTATAGACTTTGTTCATGGATTATCTTCAATTGGGTTAATTTTTTGAAATTTGATTAAATTGTGCATATTTTTGGTGTGATTCTCCTTCAATTTGATATTGTAGAAATCTAAATTTGCTTAAATTCGAAACTTTGAATTGGGGTGGAATTCATTGACTTGGGTAATTTCATGCTGATTTGGGGACGAATTTCATGAATATTCAGTTTCTTTGAAGTTTATAGTTATTGAACTAATGCCAATAGACAGGCATTAAAGTTTATTTAAATTTACAAACATTTAAATAGAATATTTGTGTTTTTGAATTGAAGATTTTATAAATGATTAGTTGAATCCCAAGATGAAGTTATGTGCTATACTGTCGTTTTTCAAAGTTTCAATCTTTTCATAGTCCAATGATTTGAAGATTTTGAGCCACTACCTAGTACCTGGTTGATATTCCAATCCATAGATATGACAGATAATGTAAAAGAAATCATTTTTCAATGTTGTATGGAAGAGATGATCAGGATGAGAGTGACTATTTGAAAACAACTATATACATTCCGTTTCTAAATAATAGGCTACATTTGATTTGAGGACATCGTTTAGAGTCATAGCTAAAACGCCATTACGAGTACTATCTTTCGCCGTTTATCATCATTACGATGTTCTTTGCCATTTATCATCATTACGATGTGAGTTTAGTCTTTATTACAATTCTTAGTCACAGTTATCAATGGTAGTGTACTAGTGTGTGAAAGTGCAAATTGTAACATACTAAATTTATAGGCTGCCTGTAATTTGGGATAGACTAAAATAGAAACATTGTATATTATCTACGAACAAAGGAAGTAACAATGTGCACTAAAGGTGTTGCTGATTTATTTTGGTGAAAGATCAGTATTTTGTTTGCAAACATGCTTAGATGATAGATCTTACTCTTGAGAGTAATTTAAAAAGCTGAAAAGAGGCGAATAAAAGGTGCCGCAGTGCTCCTCTGAACTGTCTGAAGCCACTGTCAAATTTTATTTTGGGATGTTATTAGTCATTGCCAACTTTTGAGTGCCAATTGTGTCAATTTTTTTTAGGTTAGTTTTTTGAAATAGTGTTTTCAGGTTTTAATTACTTAAGCTCCACATTTTCTGTAAGATGCTTGTTTTTCATATGTATGCTCTGGACTTCATCAGCTTGAATTTCAAATCAAGATCCTTATGCGATGAGAGGGATGGAAGTTGCTAAATGAAGCACACTCAGTCCCTGCCTCTTTCAGGCTCTCAGCTAATGATTCTCCCTTCTGGTTCTGAAGATTATGCAGGTTAATGCCTTCTCAGCATAGCTCTTTGCTTAGTTTTCAAATAAAACATTTCTTCCTTTGTAGGTTTTTTAAATGTGCATCGTTTTGGTTGATTTAAATGCAATTTATAAAAGTATATTTATAGAAATTTAGAACCTTCCTCAAGTAATAGTTATTATTGTCATGTTGTTTTCAGAGGCTGCACCTTGATGGGTTGCTGATATATCATTATGGTCGTGATGGTTTCTGTTTTCCGCCATAGGGTTCTTACTATCACTAATATCTTTCTTTCAATTGGCAAACCCACCAAGCGCCTATTCAGCCATCAGTTAGTGGTCGATGACCCGAATCGTAAAGTGGCAAGTTCTTTCTGTGATTCTCTCCGTGAAGGCTTGAATTGGGATTCCTTGAGCAGAAAATATGATTCAGCGAGTTTGGATGATCCTATTATTGAGAAAGTACTTCTTGAATTCAAGGAACCCATTGAGGCAAAACGAGCTCTGAACTTTTTTCATTGGGTTGCACATAACAACAAGATTGGCCATAGACTTAAGCATTACTGCATCACCATTCATATTTTAGCTCGTGCACGTTTAGTAAATGACGCCCGCAGTTTGTTAGAATCCATTTTGCTGAGATATGATGAGATTGAGGTAAATAGTTCTTTGAGATTTCATATAGTTGATATGCTACTGGATACTTACAAGATAACCAACTCATGCCCATTTGTGTTTGACTTGTTGGTGCAATCTTATAGCAAGTTAAGGATGTATAATGCTGCCTTTGATGTTTGTTGTTACTTGGACGAGTGCGGATTCTCTTTGAGTCTCGTCACCTTCAACACTTTGCTTCATGTCATACAAAAATCACCAGATGGCAGCAATCTGATATGGGAGGTTTATGGCCATATGATTCAGAAAAGAACAAACCCAAATGATGCAACATTAAGAATAATGATCAATGCTTTGTGTAAGGCAGGAGAGCTGCAGAAATATATGGACATAGTATTTAGAATTCATGGCAAAGGGTGCTCTCCTATGGTGGCTGTGAACACTAGTTTGGTTTTCAGGATGTTAGGGGAGGGGAGAATTGAGAAAGGACTTGTTTTACTGAAAAGGCTGTTACAGAATAAGCTGCTGCTTGATGATGTTTCTTACTCATTGGTTGTTTATGCTAGACTAAGAAGCGGAGAACTAGACTTGGCACGAGAAGTGTATGAACAAATGCTGAGTAGCGGTTTTCTTCCCAATTCATTTATTTATACTCTTTTTATTGGAGGCTATTGTGAGGAGGGAATGGTTGAAGAGGCGCTGAAATTGATGGATGAAATGGTAAACTTGGGGCTAAAGCCATATGATGATACTTATAATTCTCTTATAATGGCTTGTGCTAATGTAGGGGCCTTAGGGGACAGTTATCGACTTTGTGTAGAAATGTCCGAAAAAGGTTTTCTCCCTAGTACTACAGCTTTTAATGAGATGGTAGGAAAGCTATGTCAATCAGGAAATATGAAGCAGGCCAATGATATACTAACTGTTTTGATGGAGAAAGGGTATTTGCCCGATGAAACAACATTCCTTCATCTGATTGATGGCTATGGAAGAGAGAGCAACTTTCAGGAGGTTCTGAAATTATACTATGAAATGGAATTTAGGTCATTGTCTCCTGGATTACCAGTCTTCACATCACTGATCAAGACTTTGTGTAAATGCAGAAAGCTGGAAAAAGCAGATAAGTATTTGACCATCATGAAAAAACAGTCGCTTAACCCAACCATATGCATATATGAATCACTGATATCTGCTCACCTTGAAAATGGCAATACAGAAAGGGCTCATCATCTTTACCACGAGATGATTCAGATTGAGGCTTAATCAACTATCGGCCTTCAGTTTGCTGAATTATTTTTCAGTTTTTCATGTCTTGCCCACTTGGAGGTTGCTAAAAACTTACAAACCCATCAACATCTTTTGTTTTCCTCTGCTTATTTATGCATTACTGGAAGCAAAAAATATTGACAGGAGAGGCTTTTTCCATGTGCAAATGTCAAATGATATGACTGAGACCTGAGTTTTCAGCTGGGTCGGCTGGCCCTTAGTGCTTGTCAAGGACGTTAACAGATGGTATCTGTGTTTTTTCCCCTCATCTTTTCACGAGTCGAATTGTATGTCATATACTAGTATGAACAGTAAAGATTGCGGTTAGTGTTTGTGATCACAGAATTGCTCATTGGGCCCGGATAGTGAAGTTTATTAGAGCCTTAGAGGTATTTCACTTGCATAATTTGAGATAATCTCAATATTTGTCATTGTCATAGCATTAACTATTTTCTTTTGCATGTTGCTAGTCAACATGGTTGATTCATGCCTATTACGTCATTTGGCAAATCATAGTTTATGTTACAATACATTCGTGGCAATAATCTTTGGTGTAGGTGCTTTTTTATTGGATATGACGGTTTTACTTAGATGATCAAAGGAAAGGATATGATAGTGAAAGTGACACCAAACTGGCAATCACATCAGTTTGACACCGAGGAACTATATGTTGAGGTGATATCCTGGACTCCAGGTCTGGCATTTTGTTCTAACTGGTTTCAAACAACTGTACAAATATACTAATATTTGAAAAGAATTGTTTTCATTTACAGATGTGCTTGGATGACACTCAATGTGAGCTTTGTACATGTTTGTCATTGTGCTTTCCTTCAACGTTGCTGTAATCGTGGTTTGAATAATGAAACTTGTTCTGCCCTTCTGCTCTTAAGTCTTAAGTGCCCTTCAGATTTTCTCTTTTCCTTTTCCCCCTCTTTTACACCAAATGATGATGCGTTTTAAACTTTTGTGCCTTTTGCTATGTGAAAAGGTAGAATTCGCCGAAATACATCTCTGTGAGTTTACATTTGTTTTCGGTCATTCCAAGCATTTTCTCCGTACCTTAAAACTTATGTTGCAAAGGATGGAAAAATTCATGATAATCAGTATCTATGATAGGTAATTGTTACCATCATTCCTTTGTTTTTGTCAGTGATATCCATTTCTATCTCCTTTTATATTTAGCTCGTGGACTTAATCTTAACTAACGTAGAGAAATGTGTTGTTTTGCATGTGTATTACACCATTCGAAGCATAACCTCATATTATATATCCTGAAATACTATGCTGTAGTGAAAGTCAAGATTCATGATGAATAGTATCCAAGTTATGTTGTTTGCTTGCTTGTTCAGTTACCTAATATACTTTTGCAATCACACTTCACTAGCAATAATCCAATTCTAATTTTTGTTGTGCAGCAGGGGAGGTCGGAATTAAAATAATACCCTGTAAAGTATTGTTGCTGCGCCAACCCGGAGCAAAAGACATTATACTGGTCAGCATTAGTGGGCTTTCAGGTTCCAGGTAAAATTTTTAAATCTTGGTTTTCATCCTTATTTTCCATTTATGTGTGCTCCTGTTGTTTATATTTGACCTTAAGCATGATTTGCTTTTTGGCTATGCATCTGTGTTTTTGAGCTGAAACTATTTTTACCCTTTTATTGATTTAAACAATTTAATTAATAACTTTGTTAAGTCTCATAATTTTTATTTTCTATTCCACCGTCCAGCTTGACTTACGATCTTAATGACTACATGCATCAAATCTGAGGCACCGATTTTATCTCTGTTCTGCTTTTGAAGTGTGATTTGATGCATGTAGTCATTAATATATCAGACAAGTAATCATTCTCTTTGAAGCTTTTTTTAAAACATTTCAGTAAATTTAGAATATACAGAGAATTTAGCTGTGGGACAAAATCTAATAATATGTTGTATTTTTGTTGAATATCCTCTTAAAGTAATTAAGATCACATGTACATGCTCCAACAGTTGACCACTTCAATTCGAGTAGCCATCGAGTAGTAAACAATGTTGCATGCAACTACGAAATTAGATCCCGTTGTAAAGTCCGAAGATGTAGACCGGGGAAAATAGTACACTTTTGAGTTAGTTTATATCAATAAGAAAAGAGAAGCATGTTTTCATTTTTTTTTTCTTTTTTTTTTTTACAACTTTTTTATAAATACAATTTCATTTTACTGGCGTTTTATTTCCTTGATTTATTTTAGCATTAGTTCTCAACTTCTCAACATTGACTTTATCATTGCAAAAATCTTTCATATTTGGATTTGATGTATCATAAAATATGAGATCTACTCACATAATTTGAATGGATTGAGAGTGAGGAATAGTTGGTTAGAGCTTTCCTCCTGAACTTAGGAGTTCCGTCATTGAACACCCTACCTAAGTCTTTACAAACGGAGTATAATCTTATAAGTCTGTTTCACAAGAGTCTAAATATTTCCATTGTAAGATGGAGATTTTGCTAGTAGATATCTATAAGAAGCTGGTTCATAATCTTGATAAATGCAAATTAATTTCATGTCAAATAGAAAGAATTTTCGATTGATATTAACGTTTCTTTGAGGTTTTCTCCTTCCATTATATTATGATGAATGTTTAGCACTAACCAACTTGCTTAATTCTCTTACTGTATAAGTTCATTATTGGATGCCAGATTAACCTTGTATTCTTCTTGCTTCCATCCGAATGTTACGCCTTGTTAGCAGGATTTAGAACTGATGTTAACTGTTATCGGTGTTGCAGTCAATAAAGAGTCAAGACGAAAGAGAAGTACTAGTTAAGGGGTTCAACTGCTGCCCTTACAATATTCATTTTGCTAGTGGCAACGTTAAACAAAACTTGCAAAGTACAATTCTTCAGCCATCATAATCGACTGAGTCCTTTGTGCATCATGTGGTCATGTTGTGTGTTTTTTTGCGAAGGGGACCATTTGAATAATTGAATATGATATACTCGTAGAAGTTTGCGAGGAGGTAATTGATCTTTCGCTAGTTAAGGTTTCTTATAGTATGAAGCTGTTTGACTTCTACATAATCAATACCGGAGTACTGTGCCTTTTAGCGAAATAAAAGAGCCACTATAGACATAAATGTAGACGGGATTCAATCTCATGTTTTTGGCTCCAACTTCTTGATACATCAAACTATCTAATGCTCTATCAAGAATGCCAACTACATTGAGTAAGTTGAAACTCCTATCAACTATACCAAATATTACTCGCTATCGAGTCCCGCTCTTTATGTATATTCACATATTGTATTCTTTTAATGCTGGTTGTCATTGAGCGGTTAGAATACCAGTTTACAGGTAATAATTTATAATTGACCAAATTGAATACGTTACACGGTTATAGTGCTCTACTTCTCTTGCAGCTAAGCCATTAATGTAATACTAAATTAAAGGTCAATTGTCAACTTTTCTCACTTAATGCATACGTGTGGACGCATAAATTTGATCACCTCTAGGCATCCACCCTGCCATAGGCAATTGTACACCGGCAAAAACCCGAAAATTTTAGGGTCTTGAACACAACCTCTCAACCCAAAAACTAACATAAATAAAAAACTAACTTGAACTAAAACTCGACCCTATTTGAAACCGATCGATTTAGCATGTCCCAACACGAGCAATAGGCCCATATAGAAATATTGAGAAATTGTTAAAATACTAGTTCTAATTCATCAAATTTTGTCTCCTAAATCCAAACAAGCTTAGATTGATTGTGATTTAATTATATAAAATGACTACATAGGATATAATAATATACTTACAAATACTACATAGGATACGAAATTCTCAAATTCCAATTGCTAATTTGCGTCACCAAATCTTACGTTACAAAGTAGCCAGTTGAACAAAATTTCATCATAGGATTAGATTTTTAAAATTAGTTTGGGGTGTTTTAGTTTGCCAACCTGGAAAATAAGACTAAAAGTTAGTCAATTGTAACGGCTTATTTAATTTTCATATCATATTCTAGATGTACCTGTTTAACAACACTTGGTTTTCATTCTTTATGTCCTGTTTTAGGTCTTATGTATGTTTTTGACCACAATTTTAATTTCTTGTCCTAAAATTAATTGGCTAGGGTCCAAGCCATCCTCAATTATCCAATTTTTGCTGGATTTTAGCTGTGATTTATTTATAATAATCTATCATGGATTAGTCAATATCATTCAATAGTCCACCTATTTTAGTTTCAGGAAAAAGATGGTTACAAGTTTTAAACCGATGGTCATATGTGTTAGTGAACCATTACTCCATCTAAGACGTATCAAGCAATTTCGTGTGTTATAGTTTATGTTAAAGCTCCGTAATCAAATTATGTTACCTGTTGTTTTAGTTGGACATTATTTCAATTTTCAATATATAACACGTATGTAATTAAGGAGTCAAGTATTGATCTTTGGGTATGCAATATATAACACGTATGTAATTAAGTATTAATGAATTGATCTTTGGGTATGCAATATATAACACGTATGTAATTAAGTATTAATGAATTGATATTTGGGAATAACGTGACATGCTTAATATTGTTTAGGAATCTAATTGCTAGAATTACAAAAAATGAAGAAATTAATATGAAATCAAGCACAAAAAGTTCATTTTTGTGAATTTTTTTATTGACAAAGAATGGTATATCTATATAGTATTATCTTCCAATTGTGTATTTTGTACATTGGCATTTGCAAATGTATGCTAAAAATCACTAATTAATCTGCTGTACAGCAAAATTAAAGAGACTAAACACCCTACTAATTAATTAACTGCAAAAAGAATGTGGTATGAACTATATATATGATCATCTTAAAATGGCCTTTTAAGATCCTTAAAATCCATGGATTCAATGCACTCTAACTTGTCTCTAAAAAGATTTAGGAGCTTCAATAATTTAGTAACCTTCTCCTTAACCCTCTCATTGATATTCCAACCAACTTGTAAAATCAGCAAAAGCTTTTGAAATGCACCAACTTGTAGAGCTTCAACAATAACACCACCATCTTCCCTATCCTCATTCTCACACAACCTATAAAGGATGGAGACCGAGAACTCGGTCGCTAACTCGGAGATCCTTAGTATCTTCTTTACCACCACCGGAATAGCTAGTGCTTGAGTGTAGGCCGCCTCACGGCCTTTGTCACTTCGACAAAGGCCGTCGAGGACCCCGAGTGCCTTCTCACAAACGCTCTTCTCAGCATCTACTAGAGTGTCTAGGACTAATGAGACTAAACCCATGTCAATGAACCTTTCTATGATCACATTTTTGCTTGAAAAATCATGACTTGATATGATCATATGGTATATTACAACTAGTGAAGCTTTGGTAGAAGCTGGACAAATTGGCTCTTTGATTAGCTTGACCAACCCTTCCATAGCTCCTTCCATTGTAACCAATGACTCAATCACCTTCTCGTGATCTTTCGAGCTCGAAACGAGTTCTTTAAGGATCATAACCGCGTTTCTTATCCCGGATAAACCTCCGCGTCTTAAAAACCACACCAAACGCCCTAGGGAGTTTGGTGTCTTAAGACTCACTAGAGCTTGTGACTCTAAGGGGGTTATAGATGTTAGAATACTCATAATTTCTTCCAAGAGTGAAATGACGGTTTCGCCCTCGCTATCGGCGAAAGCTTGGAATGCAAGGGACAAGGCCTTACTAGCCCCATTCCCTACAATGCACCTCTTATTCCTCTCACTCTCCTTCAAAGCCTTGCTTACTTTCCCCACTAGATCTTTACACTCTTGTGGGGTCCGCGACATTGAGATCCTCTCCGAGATGGTCCCCACCTCATCCGAGCTAATCGGAATTCGAGGCGTGGGGATCCGTTCTATTCCTTGGGATCGATTCTCAACACACCAGTCTTGGATCATCCTTCGAATAGTATGGTTTGGGATAGGCTCAAGTGTCCTTAAGACTTGATTAGTCATAGGACATGTTACATTACCCGCCTCAATCCATTTCTCTATATTTTCGCGGTCATACGATATTCCCGTCGATAAAGTCACCGGATCCTTCATCAAATCTAGAGATATCGGACACCGGAAATGATTCGGAACGATCAACTCCGTCGGCTTCCTCTTCCCCCCACCTTGATCACCCCCGGCCGCCCCTCGGCTCGCTCTCTTCCTTCTCCATGAAGAAATCATGTTTGTACTAGTAAATATGTTTTAAGAATATGATCAAATTAAAGTTATGTAAGTAAGTGTTTAATATTATTGGTATGTTTTTGGTGAATATAAGATGAGAAAATATGTTTTGAATGAATGAATGAAGTTTGTTGCAAAGACAAAGTATATATATATATATATATATATGGGGTAGGTTTAATATAAAGTTTATGTTATACAAATTATACGCGGTACAAAAGGTCAAAAACCATATTATAAAAATAATAATAACGACCGAAGACCCAACAAAATAGGTTGTACAGTATAATAAAAACGTTGTAATAAGTTCAAACAAAGGAGGAGGGGAAGAAGAGAAGTATTGAAGTTTGACCGTTGAAAGTTTGAAAAGGTAAGAAAGAGAGAAAAGGTCAAAGAAGCCGTTGATTTGGTTTAAAATTAAAAGTAGGGACATATATATATTTTGATTAATATTAAATAATTATGAATAGATTTTGTAGAATTAGAATAAATCAACGTCAATAGCTGCAGCGTAGGGGGTCGGTGCATGGAATGGATTTTTATGTCAAAAGTCTCGTCTAAACATCATACGGTTTGTATCACATTATCATATATATATCCTTCTTTTGTACCCGATTTAACCGTCTTAATTGAAAACCTTGACCTTAAAATTAAATTGATTAATGTTGACAAACTTGTATACAAAGTTATTAAAATTGGGATTCTACTTTGAATCGGAAGGGGCTATTAGAATCGAATCGTAGAATCGTAAGATTCTACTGTCATGAATAATCAAGACGTCAAATATAAATTAAATTAAATATATTGAAATTATGAGTTTGAAAACTAATTATTGATTGATAATAGTTATGTAACCATTAAGCAATCAATACTTGACAATTTATATTTATAAAAACCTATATAAACATGTTTTATTACTTGTAAGGATTTCGCTAGTTCAAAAAAAATATGTAAAATCGAACAGAATCGTAAATCGAATCGTATGATATACATGAATCGTAAAATCGTAAGATTCTAAGAGTTAAATCGAGATTTTAATAACAATGCTTGTATATTCGTTCGTTGTTTACTCATTAACTATAGATACATGGATTAGTAAAACTTTGAGACAGTTAGGGTGTGTTCACTTCTGCTTAATTTCAGTTCAGTTCAGCTCATTATTGTCAAAATCGCGATCCAGATCGTGGATCGTGCGATCCTACGATCTCATTTTAGCTAAACGATTCGGATCGGATGCAGAATCACACAGCAAGCAGGATCATTGTAGGATCGGTCAGGAACACACAGCATCGAGTAGGATCGATGGGATCGAACGATCCTGTTTTACACTTAAATTATTATTGGATTTTACACTTAAAGCAATTAAACTTTTCTCTAAGCTAAGAAAATTGCTATCCAACTACTAAAAGTATAAATTTTATAATTTTTATGGCTTATGGGCTGTAATCCAGTTATGTAGCAACCTTTTTATTACGCCTTTTATTAATTTTGTAGGATCTTACGATTCTACTATATGATTTTATCGATTCGATCCTACTCCTCTCACCGATCCAAAGTAGAATCCCGATCTTGACAACCTTGGTTCAGCTCCAATCAATTCAGTTCAATTCATCTCCTAATTCTCTTCTCTCATAAAATATTCATTTTAGCTCAATTCAGTTCAGATCCAATCAGTTTAGTTCAATAAATGTGAATAAGCACTTAATGATTGTACAAGTAAAATTTGAATTAAGTAGGTGTAAGTGAACAAAAATAAGATGATTAATATAGAAAATAGAGTTTGCAAAATATGGAATAAAGTAGGAATAAAAGAGTAAACAAAAAGTGTGTTAAACAAAAATATGGTAGGAAGATTGTTTCAAATTATGCCTAACATGCTTAGTTGTGAACCTCTAAAACTTGAGTTGAAAAATCATTATTGATGGTGGATAAATTTTTGTGGTTACAACTTTGACTAAATTGACTCGTGTTTGAATTGGTATGTAATACTTGTATAATACGAAGGACGTCATATATGAATTAGCTTAATTAGGTCCATTGGCCTTTATTGTATACGAGTATTAAATTAAGGACTTATCTTAGTTGTAAATGGCTTTTTTTTTTTCTTTTTTTTTTTT